TTAGTCTGCTTCCATTTTGTGAGCCTCTCTTCTCTTCCTTCCCTTTTTTTGTGAGGCATTTGGGGTTAAGTGACTTGCCCAGAGTCACTCAGTTAGAGTGTTATGTGTCTGAAGCCATAGTTGAACTCATGCCCTCCTGACTCCAGCGCCAATGCTCTATCCACTCTTCCCTCTTTTTTAATGGCAGAAAACTTCAGGAGATAGAGAGAGCAGGCATTGACTAATTGAAGTTTCTAGATTAATGATGACTATAATTTTTAAACTTCTCATTTAATTACTGAATCTAGACAGAGTTTCAACAGTAAATAATGAAATCTACCTTCCCTATCCTACTCCCAAAGAGACTGTTATGATTCTTCTCTTTTCTCTTTAAGTGCTATTTAGCTTTGTCTTTGTATCTTCAGTGACTAGCAAAATACTTTGAGCACACCTGGGATTTACTAGATGTTTGTTTAATTAAATTAGCATACATTAACCCCCTACATGTAAATTTCAGCCACATTACAAATTATGAATAAATTATAAAATTTCCTGTTAACCTACATACCAGTTCCCACCTTCTTAAACTTTGCACAGGTTTCTTCTATGTCCTTCTTCCTCACTTCTGCTTGCTTGTTAGAATCCTTTAGATTCCTTCAAAATTCAATTTAGATATATAACCTCCACCAATAACCAACCCACAGATTATACTACAAAGCTAAAGTGGTACAATTTGAACATTCTCCATCCCCATTCTCCTACTTCCATAGAAGAGTTCACTAGGATAAGAATTTTGCTATTCTTATTATAATCATAACTGAAATTCTTCTAGGATAATATGTAAAAAATTAATATTTATCCTTGTTTATTTGGAATTCATTAGCTCCATCCTAAATTATAAAAGTACACTGAATTTTTCTGTGTATCAAAAATAATTCAGTTTTCATTCACTTAGGATTATAGGTACATTATAGTACTGATTTCAAATATATTATGCAATACTATGCATCAATCAAAATCACAACTAGCTGAAGAACCTCAAAGCCACTGAGGAAATTCTTTGTTTACAAAACAACTAGTTATTCAGTAATTCAGCAAGAAAATAACAAGAGGCTGAATATTTAATTAGAAACATAAATCATGCAAGAAAGATAATATTCAGTAATACTAAGTGTTAACAAAGTTAAAGAATCTCAAATTTGAAGAGAATTCAGAGGTCATCTAATTCAAACCTATTCCTGAATAATAATTCTCTTCACAACATCCCTGACAAATGACCATTTTACCTTTCTTCCACTAAAGGAAAATCCACTCAACTGCCCCTCACTTTGCAGATTGATAACATCAGATAACATCAATGTTCAAGATAGCATCTCTTCAGGTGCTTGAAGAGCACTCCTAGGTGGGTCTCTACCTAGGTCTTCTCTTCCCTCAGCTAAGCATTTCCACAGCCTTCAATCAATCTGAAGGTGACATGAAATCTAGTTGCTCTAACATCTAGACTACTCGCCTCTGGATACCTCCAGAGTGTCAGTGTCTTTCCTAACATGTGGTACTCAGAACTGAACACCATATCGGACTAGGACAGATTATAGTGGGGATATTTCCTCCTTGGTCTTGCACATTATGCCTATTTCAAAGCAGCCATAGATGTCACTGGATTTTTTCAATGTCATGTGACATTGTTGATTCATATTGAGCTTGTAGTCCATAAAACTCAAGCTCTTTTTCATATGATCTCCTAAATAGCCATGCCTATCCCATCTTGTACTTCTAAAGTAGATTTTTTTAACCTTAACATAAATTCTACTCCAGTAACTTTGCCAAGAAAACCCCAAATAGGGTCACAAAGAATCAGATATGCCCAAAATGACTGAACAACAACACAAAGCATAAATTTCATTTTTATTAGATTGAGGCCAATATTCATGCCTCTCAAGATTTTTTTTTTAAATCTTGAGAGTCAAGCTAGTAACCCTCCTAGCTTAATGTCTTTTTTGGGTGAGATAAGCATGCTATCAATCTATCAACAAGTTTTTAATAAGTTTCTACAATGTGCTAGGCATTCTGTTAGATGTTAGAATTACAAATACATAAATGAAATAATCTCTGCTTTCAAGGAGCTTATATTAATTATATCAAGAGATATAACATGTACATGAATAATAATATTTAGAATATAAGGGTTCACACTATGATGTTACTGGTATAGGGTCCTCTCTGTATCAATGCAAGTCAATGCCTTCTCTGAATTTCATAGTCTCAGTTAGTCAATAAACATTTTTAAGTGCCCACTATGTCTCAGGCATCTTGCTAACAACTGGGGATACAAAAAGAGAGAGAAGACAATCTTGACCTTAAGGAGTTCACAGTCTAATGGGGGAGACAACAAGGAAACAAAGATGTACAAATAAGCTATATACAGGAAAAATTGGAAATAGTTTTTAGAGACAGTGGAATTAAAAGGGGTTAGGAAGGGCTTCCTTTAAAAGATGACATTTTAGTTGAGACTTGAAGGAAGTCAGGGAATCCAGTAGGTGGAGATGACATGGGAGAGCATTCTGGACATGGGGACTAGTCAAAGAAAATTCTTGGAGCCAAGAGATGGAATGTCTTGTTGGAGGTACAGCAAGAAAGCCAGTATCACTGGATCAAAGAATACACAGTGGGGAGTCAGCTGTAAGAGGACTGGAAAAGTAGGGGAAGGCAAAATTATGAAAGACTTTGAACACCAAGCGGAATATTTTGTATTTGATCCTAGAAGCAATCAGGATCCCACTGGAGTTTAGTGAGAAGAAGGGTGACATGGTTGAACCTGAACTTTGGAAAATCCTTTGGTAGTTGAAAGGAGGATGAATTAGAGGGAGGAGAGATTTGAGGCAGGCAACCATTGCAACACTACATGCTCATGAGATAACAACGTCCAGTGCCAGGATAGTAGAAGTATCGGGGAGAGAAAGTAGTATATGCAAGAGATGTTGCAAAGATAAAATTGACTCTCAGAGTTGCCCAGAATACTGAGAGATTTTGACTTGCCCAGGGTCACACAGACAATATGTGTCATCAATGGGACTTGAAGCAAGGTCTTCCTAGCTCCACAAGCTATCCACTATAATAAGAAACACAAGGATAGGTGCAGCTAGGTGGTGCAGTGGATAGAGCACTTGCCCTGAAGTCAGGAGGACCTGAGTTCAAATCCAGCCTCAGACCAAACACTTTACACTTTCTAGCTGTGTGACCCTGGGCAAGTCACTTAATCCCAATTACCTAAAAAAGGAAAAAAAATAAGAAATACAAGGTGACTTTGGAAGAGAGAGCACTAAGAGGTAAGGAAATCAGGAAAGATTTATGTAGAAGTTCTTGCTTGAGCTAAGTCTTGAAGCAAACAATGGATTCTAAGAGAAAGAGAGCAGTGAGGAGAGAATGCCATCCACATATTCCAGGACAAAGGCAGATAGAATGTAAATTCAGTGTCAAGAACAGGAAAAAGTAATGAATCATAATGGATACAGCATTGGGGCTATTCCAAACAGGAAGATCTAGGTTCAAATCCTGCTTCAAATGCCAGCTTTGTGACCCCAAGAAACTCTATGTGTTCCAGTTTGCTCTTAGGCAAAATGAAGGAGTTGAATCTGATGGTCTCTCAGGTCCCTTCCATCTCTAAATCTATGGTCCTATTTTGTAAAATCCAGTTTTTCTGGACTGTGGAAAGTGTGAAAGGGAGTAGTGGACCATGAAAATATATAAAAGTATAGATACAAAAGTTGAAGTGTTATGTATGAGATGAGGGAAAGAGTCAGTTCGGCTAGGTTATAGAGCTCAGGAAGGAGACTAACGTCCAAAGAGCCTGGAAAGCTAGAATGGATCCAGGTTGTAAAGGGCATAAAATGTTAAACAAAGGAACATACATTTTATCCTAGAGGCATTAAAGAGTTACTTGAGTTTATTGAGTGACATGACATGTGCTTTAGGAAAATCATTTAGACAGCCATGTAGAGGTAGAGGTGGAAAATAGATATCAATTAGAAGATTCCAGTAATATTCTAGAAGGGAGGTGCTGAGGACCTGAGCTAGAGCACTAGCCATAAGAGTGGGGAGAACGGATGGATATGGAAGTAGAAATAACAAGGTTTAGCAAATGAATGGATAAGCACTGAGAGAATAAGTCGTCAAGGAGGACACCAGATTTGGAAACATGGGAAAGAGGAAGGATGGTGGTACCCTTAACAGAAATAGGGAAGTTCAGAAGTGCTTTGAGATTGGAGTAAGGGAAGAAGAGTTCTCTTTTGACATATCTATGAAATATGCATTTTGCAATATCCAAAAGGCAGTTGCCTGGATGAGTGTAGCTGAAGAGAGTAACTCGGGCTGTTAAAAAGGAATAACACAAATTGTGAAAAAAGAAAAGATTATTGAGTGACGGTGGCAGAGCAATGGCCTGGAAGTGAGATTGGGAGGTGTGGAGTATGCTAATTCCTCCTCCTGATCCAATGAGTTAGAGGAAAAAGGAAAAAGGGAAGCCATTACTGAAAAAGATTACCAGGAAGGGTAGGTAATCAAGGCAAAACCAGGTTCAATTCATGAGAATACAGGTAAAAAAAAATTAAGAGAAAAAGTTGAAAAAGAGGTTATTTGCAAAAGGATAAGGGACGTGGAAGAAGTTGGTAGAAATACGGACAAAGAAGAAGAAAAGAGCTGTACGGAATGGTACAGAAGAAGTAGTAGCAAGAAGGGGTTTGTGTTAGTTGTGAAAATTCAAGATAAAAGGTAGTAGAGGAACAGGAGGGTGGGAAGTAAGCTAGGGTGACATGTTAAATATTAAACAGGAAAAATCCTTCAATGAATATTCACATGCTGGTGAGACAGAATGTTAGTGAGCTACAATGATGAATAACAAAATCAACATATGAGATTGTGCAAATAAATTTCAAACTCATAATTGGGATACATTTTGCTAGAATTTAAATTACATAGACTATAACCTTATTCATTCAATGAACAAATTAGAAAAAAAAATTTACCGAGAGTTTTCAATTTTTGTCGATTCATTTAATTCATTTAACTTTGTTGTCTGATGTACAAAAGTTGAGGACTCCAACAAATTAACACTGAAATAAATGAAGCAAAAATCATGAAAACACTGGAAATTTATACTATATTTAAAAGTCTTAAAGATGAGAAACTACCAAAAATACAGACAAAAAGCAACATTTCATTTTTGTTAATCTATTAAAAGTAATTGCAATTATAAGATATAGCATATAAATTATATATAAATTATATATAAATTGTAAGATAATTTTCCCCAAAAAAGTTTGAAAAATCTTCCTGTTCGACCCACAATGTGAATTCAAAAGATAGTGTCAGTGTCTAAGTATTCCTGTTTCCCTTTGAAATTTATCCAGACTGCAGAATGAAAATTTGCTCGTTATATTTCCTCAACAGAGGAGAAAATCATAATATTTTGTTCTTCATTTGCTATTGGAGCTGTTTAATTATCAGTCTTTCAATGATATTTGCATAAAGGGGAAAAATATTTCAATCAGTAATGATCATTACACTGTAATGGAGGGAGGAGGGGGAAGGAAGGATAAGGCTGGTGCCAGGACAAAGTGTGTTGGAATTAGAATCAGTGGATCTGGGTTCAAATCAGGTTCTGACATTTGTTACCTATATGACTGGCAAATTATTTTAGCTTTCTGAATGTCAGTTTCCTCAGCTATAAAATGAGGGGAGTTAGACTAAAGTGAAAATTTATTTTGAAATGTAAAAAATGTTTATTTTCCTCTTAAAAACAAGTGGCATCAAGATTCAGTGCTCTGGACATATTTTAACTCTTGGACTGGATGATTGTAAATTTCTTTACAGCTCTAACCCGATTTTGTTTATCAATGAAATTAAAAGGACAGGGAGTCTTAATAACTTCCATAATATCATGAAAAACAATAATAACATATTCATCTGCTATTTTAAAAAGCCAAAATAACCACTGATGAAGAAACAAAGAATTCCAGTACGGGTTGGGAAAGAGGGGAAGGGGGGGATAGGGAGAACAGGGACAGTGAGTGCAAATACTTGGAGTCTGGAAATAGAACATCGTATTTCAAAGAATTTCAAGAAGGCAGCCTTATCTAGATCTCCAAATGTGTGGAGGCGAGTAAGATATATAAGAAGACTGGAAAGGTAGGAAAGGTCAATTTGAAACACGAAATAAAGAGCTTTAAATGCTAAACAGAGAAAAATATATTTGATTCTGGAGACAATAGAGAGCCACAAGAGTTCAATGAGTAAGGAGAGTGACATGGTCAGGCCTATGTTTTAGAAAAATCATCTTAGAAGATAAACACAAAATGGATTGGAGTGGAGAGAAACCTGAAATAAAGAGCCAGTTAGAAGTCTACTTCTAGGAGAGTTGATGAGGGCTTGAGCTAAGGTTGTGGTTATATGACTGAAGAAGAAAGATGCTGTATAAGGTAGAAATGAACCTCTATAAGAGACATGTTTAGACATGTTATAAAGATAGAAATGACAAGATTTGACAAGGGTCTGAATATACAGAAAAGCAAGGAGTTAAGAATGACATTGAGGTGGCAAGCCTGGGTGACTGGGAGGACAGTGATTCCTTCAACTGAGATAGTTTGGAAAAGAGGAGGATTATCTTATGGATATGGTTAGTTTGAGATGTCATTGGATATCCAAGGGCAGTGGGAGATATGTGACTATAACTCAGGAAAGAATCTGGGGCTAGATAGATTTAACCAGGAATTGTCTAAATTGAACCCATAAGAACTGATAAAGTAACCAAGCAAAGGAGTTTATAGGAAGATTTAAGACCCCAGGACCCAGCCAGTGGGCATGGCAGAGATGAAGAATAAGCAAAGGAGACTGAGGGGCAGTAGGACAGAGAAGGAGAAGGAAGAGAGACAAATGTGACAAAACCCTGGAAAGGATTAACTAAAGCATTAACTAAAGAACTCAGGGAAAGACCTAATGGAAAGATAAAATGAGGAACTTCAAATGGCTATCTTCTAAGATCCCTTTCTGCTCCAAATCTATCACTCTAATTCACATGGAAATGAAAAGTCCTTCGACTTTTGTGCTTTTCACAAAGGCTAGAACTAGGATCTGTCTCTGTGTGTGTGTGTGTTATAAGACGAAAGATTTGAGCACAAAATAAGAAGGATCTTTTAAACAAATTAGAGTCTGCTGAACTGAAATATACTGCTTCCCATAAAACATTTCCTAATGCTGGAGGCCTTCCTTCTTCAGCACGGGAAGCTGAGGCCGGATGCTCAACATCATCAACAGCCTCAGGAATGTTATGAATATGAGACAAGAAGTTTCCAGTAGAAGTTAGGCTAAGTGACTTTGAAGGTTCCTTCTGACCCTTAACGTTTTACCAGTCTATGATTTTATGCATCATTTTATGCAATGTAGAGAAAAATGTGAAAGGCATAAGTGGGGAGAAGAGCACTTGCATAAAAAAGCAATAAAACTATACTCCTAAATTGACTTCTAAATTGTTTTTTCTGAGTTTGACAAATCAGTATCATTTAATGAAAAGAATTATGTATTTGATAGTCAAGAGATCTGAGTTCTAGAATTGATTTTGTTATTAATTTGATGTCTCCTTTTGCACGAGGTAGTACGTGAGAAAATTTTTTGAGAAGATCATATGGAGAAGAGCTACGTCAGGAGCCCGAGATTCCAATTCTGCGTTAGACTTTCACCAATGGCTTCATAACCATGAGCAAAACACTTAAGCTCCCAGTGCCTACAGCAACTATCTAACAGAAGAACTATTTTTCCCACACTCAGAGTTCCCTACAGTAATGAAATCATAGGCCTAGACAATAAAACAAAGACAAATCTGAACCATGTACTGCTAAGGTTGTTGCAAATCTTAAAGTGCTGTGTAAATGTGGGTTATTCTTAGAAATATGTGAAGAAGTATAATAGGATTTTGCACTTAGCGGTGCTTGGTACATGGTAGGTGCCTAACAAATGTTTATCGATTCATAGAGAGATTGGAGCCTGCTTCTGAGTGAGTCAAGATGATGTGCAACGAAAGTGTCTTGAAGATACTTTGGAGCATGTGTAGACATTCTGTTACTGGTTCTGGTATGCATTTGTACAATACAAAATGGAGCAACTTTAGAAGGCTTTTGTTGACCTCAGAATGAGTGAGTGGTGAAGCCAACCAGGGCTTTTCAAAGGCTTTCCTAGTTCATATTCCAAAAACGCAGCCAAGAAAAGAGGTTGTTGCCATGCACGTATTAAGAGATCACCAGAACAAATTACAAAATGTTTAAACATGCTACACAAACTCACCAAGGCACCTCGTTTACACATCACCATGACTCTCCAGGAAACAAGCTCCCCGAGTCTTCCCCTTCAATGTGGGGGACAGCAACAAGTGCCAATCAATCAATCAACACTTATTAAATGCCTACTATGTGCCAGGCACTTTGCTAAGTGCAGTCCCCCATTAATATTACCGTTACATATTTCTAAAAACAGTAATTCACATTTACAAAGCACTTTAAGATTTGTAACAACCTTGTGAGGTAGATGGTAGATTTATCTTTGTTTTATTGTCCAGAGTCCCAGGGGTGGGGAACCTGCAGCCTCGAGGCCAAATATGGCCCTCTAGGTCCTCAAGTGAGGCCTTCTGACTGAATCCAAACTTCACAGAACAAATCCCCTTAATAAAAGGATTTGTTCTGTAAAACTTGGATTCAGTCAAAATGCCACACCCAAGGACCTAGAAGGCCACATGTGGCCTCAAGGCTGCAGGTTCCCTACCCCTATTCCAGACCTATGATTTCATCAGGCTTTCACAAGTACCATTCTTTCACTCTTCACAAGTGCCATCATGCTAGTATTGTTCATAGTAATAGCTCAAGTGCACATTTATATATATATATATATATATATATATATATATATATGCATATAAGTAAAATTTTAAAATAGTTTAACTGATTCTATAATATGCACTTCAAATTGATTATGCTCGACATTTTTTCCATCATGTCTGAGTCTTTGTGATCCTATTTGGGGTTTTCTTGGCAAAAATACTGGAGTGGTTTGCCATTTCCTTCTCCAACTCACCTTACAGATGAGAAAACTGAGGCAAACAGATTTAAGTGACTTGCCTAGGGTCACACAGTTTGTAAGTGTCTGAGACCAGATTTGAACTCAGAAAGATGAGGTTTCCTGACTCCAGACCTGGCACTCTATCTACTATGCTACCTAGCTGTATTTTCTCTTAATTTTAAAAGTTATCTATTGTAGAGTCACAAGCACAATAAACACCTTCCCAAGATTTTAAAAATGAATAAAAGTGTAATTCCCTCCAGTAACTTACTAAAAGTTTCTTTACGAGATATTACACAAGGGAAAGCCAAATTTTGTATTATTCATTCTGTTTTCTTTCTTTCTAGAAGCTAAAGCTAGCCATTTGGGCTGTCTGAAATAATTTGTTTTCTCTAGGTGTTCATAGATTTACCTATTTCATCCACTTGTTCAGAGGGTTCTCTGGTTTCTACACTCAATTAAATAACTTGAAAAGGATAATAATTCTCCTGTACCATGAGAATTGGAAGCAAAATCTTTGAGGCAATATTTTCACTGCAGGTATAAATTATTATCAGGAATGATTAATGTATCTGGTAGTTTTACTTATATGACTGCCTTGTAACTGACAATGGATTAGAATATCACAGAATAATAGAAAGGGAAGCTATCAAATATTAAAATAATAGCATGGTTTTGTTTCATATACTTTTATAAGGAACATTCCTAAATCAAAGGGAATATGAATTAAACAAAAAATTTAGATTCAAGGTGAAGTATTCATTCATTCTCAAATATTTAACACTATTTTTCTAGATGGTATGTTTTTTTAAATATTAAAGAAAGAAAATATTAAAGAAATATTTTTAATTTTTATAATGTCCTAAAAAGTCATATTCATGCCAGTTAGGTTCTATTTTTTCATCTCTAATTCCCCTAAATTATCCTTGTCTCAAGAGAGGTATAGATATAGTGAAAGTGGGGCATACAGCAATTGAGAGTAATGTAAGCCTACAGCAAAAGTCTATTTTACATTTTGCATAAATATTTCAATTTTGTAATATAACCAGTGAGATAAAGATTTAGGGGGGAAAGTCTAATAATTAGCATGGCTTTGTTTCTCTTTGGAAGTGTGCTGGATCAAATAAAAAAAAAACAGTTAAATTTTGTGGACTGAATTTGGTCAAAAGTGTAATTTTATTGCAATAAATTTCAAGTAAAGCTTATTTATCTTTATTTACTATAGTAATTCACAGCTTATCATATACAAGTTTTTTTAAATTTAAAATGTAAACACATTTCATTTAACCTCATTTAGGCATTTTAAACAGGTAATAAAATTGTTTAGTTTCATAAAGAATTGAGATCTGAATATTTCTTGATACTAATAACCGTGAAGTAGGAACATCATTTACCTGAATTCTCCATCAGTTTGAAAAGGATTTTTAATACCAACAGTAACTTCTTTCCATTCATAACATGGGGTTTTGCAGCTTACAATTTCCTGAAGAAAAGTAAAAGGTAAAATCATAGTTATAAATAAAACCAAAAGTAACACTCTGAATTATAAAATTTGACCTAAGCCCAGAATAAAAAGCTATCTAAATAAACAAATAAACAATAATAAAGAAGTGCCATATATCTTCCCCATTCTCTTTTCAACAGACATTTTACTGTTAAAATGGGTGAAGGAGATGAAAAATTCATGCCCCAATTTACATACAGTAAAATTTTCCAAACTGTGAGGCATGCTCCTTGGGAGGGAGGAGGAAACACATAAAGAAATGAATTAAGTAATTTTATATTTTCAAATACACCTCTTTTTCAAAATGAAACCTATTCTCTTTTTTTTCAATGAAACCAAGATTCAAACCAAAATTAATACAACTGAGACTGATATCTATACTTTGCCACAATAAAGAGTAAATGCAACATGAAAATCAGTTAAAATGGTATGGGCAAAATAATAAAATAAAATTTTAATTGATTTCTTCAAAACTTTATAAGAATCTCCTACTATCACCAGCAGTAAATGTAGAATCAGGACATAAATAAGTGTAAGAATTATCTGCTTGCTGTATTTGAACATGACATGTATACATTTAAAGTTAAAAAAAATACCTGGGTAGAAATTAAATGTATTATAACATCAGCTATATCTTAATGTCATTAATTTTGGTCAATACAATAAGCTGACTTAAACACAAAGAGACACACATACCAAAACTACAACTTTTTATAAAGAGAATGATTATAGATAATTGAAATTTTTAACAAATTTAAACCTAATTGTCAAATTTTTATTGTCTCTATTTTTGAGTGAAATTATTTTCCTCTTTGATAAATCCTTTGAAAATAAAATTCATGAGAGCAGCTGACACTATCAAACTGTCTAAGAAAGACAGGTTAAGTAGCAGAAGTTTTTAAAAGATAAAATAAAAATCCTTAATACAGAATATACAACCCAATATAATTATCATTAGGAAACAAAAAATATTGTCAGTGAAAGATAGAAGAGCCCTCTGTTTTGGTTTGTACAACTACTTTAATAGTTGATACCATAAAACATAATAAATTGAAATGATATGTTGAAAGTATACATGAAGAATATGTAGGCAAGGCAAAAGAGTTGTTTCAGGGGGGAAAAGATGCTTTTAATAATCAAAAACAAACTTCTTTAAAAATGCTTCTCTGATATCAAAATCATTGGGTGTGTAAGTACTTATATAATTGTTACATATAAAAAGCTTGATTTTATAGAAGAACCGTTATTGCTCCTCAGAGATATTTATATGGTCAAAATAACGTTTAGAGAAACATACGCATAGCAGCTCTAATGGTTTCACTTGTAGATAATATAGTGGGAAGGAAAATTCCCCATATGTCTGAAAACCTTCATTATCAATCTATTGAGAAATTACTTTTTTTCTATTTTGCACTGCAGGTAGAAGAAGGAAGAGATGTAAAGTGTTCATTAGAATACATAATGAATGATACTCAACTTCAATTGAATTAATGTTAGTTATTCCCTAATGGAAAAAAAGATCAAAGACATAGACAAAGTTCTCAAGAAGCATAGCACACTATTAAAAACTACATGAAGGATTGCTCACAATCAATAATAATAAACAAAATGAAAATCAATCAGCTCTTGAGATTTCACCTCACACCTAGCAAATTGGCAACAATAACAAAAGATGGGAATAGTCAATGTTGGGGAAGGTTTGAGAATACAGGCACACTGATATCCTATTGGCTCAGCTTTAAATTGGTCCAATATTCTGGAAAGCAACTTGGAATTTTGTAAATAAAATTACTAACCTGCCCATATGCATTGACTCAGAGCTCCTTCTCTTAGGCATATTCTCCAAAGAGATCAATGAAAAAGTAAAGGTCCCCCACAGTCCAAAATATTTATAGCAGTGCCTTTTACAGTAGCAAAGAACTAGAAAGGTAGATGTTCAATTGGGAAAAGGCTAACAAATTGTAGTACATTTATTTAATATAATATTACTGTAGTATATGGAAAAACAATATGAAGAATGCAGAGAATCAAAGGAAGACATATGAAGTGAATCAAAGTAAAATAACAACATAGAAAACAATATATAGAACTACATCAACGTAAATGCAAGGATGAAAAAATCTGAAACCAAACACTGTGCAACCACAATGATCAACATTGATTCCAAAAATGGAAGCAGAGGTGGAGCATCCAATCATCTAATGTCAGACGTGGTTGATATGGGTATGCTGACATGTTGTTTTGTTTTGTTTTTTTTCCTTCTCTCTTTTTTCATTCTTTGTTATAAGAAATGGTCCTGTGAGGACAGGATTTTTTCATCCTTGCATTTGAATCTGAAAATCTTATTGTGTTTTGTCTATAAATAAATAGTCCTCTTGTTTATCAAACAAAAACAACACAAAATTTATTACTCTTCATGACATTTTATTTGTGAGAAATTGGGTTTTTTAATGTAGTAATGACAAAATAATAATCACAATTACAGGATGAAAATAATTGTAAGTATCATCACCAATAACACTTAATTTTTTTAATTTATTTTACATACCATTCTGGGTGCTAATTGCCCCCCAGGAACTCACACAATCCTCCTGGGCCAGGATGTTGCCCAGAGAAGAACAAAACTACCTTATAAAGCACCTATTCCCCCTAGATTAAAATCATGAAGTCCCTGCTTCCCATACCAAACACATACTTCTTATCTTATGAGAGCACTCTTTACTGGAACTCCTCTCCTCTATGTCTCAGCCTCACTGGAGTGAGACCCTTTATCCAGTTCCCTAGTCTTATCATCTCCTTTTGCTATTTCCCATATCCATTTGCAGTGACATGGCTCTCTCTGTTTATTGTTCTCTCCCTTGCTTGTCAATTTTTATTTTAAAGTTAATTTTCTTTATACATTTCCTTTTTACATCATATATATTTCCCATTATATCCCCTCCCTTCCTCTTCTCAGAAATTCATGTCTTATTAAAAGAGAACGAAGGTAGAGGGGGAAAGTGGGAAATAATGATAGGAAAATAGAGAGGGAGAGGAGATGACAGTTTGACAAAATTAACCAGCACATTGAAAACATTTCATATTTTATATATATAGTGTTCCACAACCAAAATCCTTCACTGTCACAAAGGAGGTAGAGAGATACCTTCTCATGTATCTTTGCTGGGACTTTATTATTGTATTATGGTATTTGATTTTGATTGTTTTCTTGCTATTGTTCTTTCATTTACATTACTGTAGGCAATTGAATGGTGCAGTGCATAGAATTTTGTCCTTTGAAATGGGAACACTCAAATCCTGCTTCAGATACTTACTAGCTGTATGACCCGAGGGAAATCTCTTAATTTCTCTCAACCTCAGTTTCCTATTCTATAAAATGGAGCTAATGATAGTATCTACCTCACAGAATTGTTGTGAAGATTAAATGAGATAACACAGAAAGTGCTTAGTAAACCTTAAAGCATTATATGATTACTAGCTATTATCATAGTCACTAGGAATACTGTTTTCCAGGTTCCTGAATGTAATAAATGAAGTTCAATAAGTATAAATGCAAAATTTTACAATTGGGTACAAAAACTCAACTTCATGAGTATAATATGAGGAAGGTATGGTTATACAACAGTTTTATAAAAAATATCTGGGGAATCTTAGTGGACTGCAAGCTCAATACAAATAAGTAGTGAGATATTTCAGCCTAAAGCAGCTAAAATGATCTAAAACTGCATGAATAGTTACAGATATAAAAACATTAGTTTTCTGTGCTTTGTCCTGGTCAGACCACAGCTAGAGAATTGAGCTCAATACTGAGTACCAGTTTAAGAAGGAAATTGGTAACCTGAAGTATTTCAAAAGGAGAGCAACCCAGATGGTAAAGGATCTTGAGTTCAAATCATATGAGAACTGGGTGAAGGAACAGGGTAAGAGAAGACTCAGAAATGATGGGAGGGAGAATGGAGGAGAATGATACTTTCTTCAATTACTTAAAGGACTGTCATATGGAAGAGTAATTGGACTTCTTATATTTGGCCCAAGAGTGAAGAACAAGGTGAAATGGGAAGTAAAAAGTGATGAGTTTAAGACTGATGGTAGGAAAACTTTCTAACAATTAGGATTAGCCAAAAATAGAATGAATATCCTGGAAACATAATGGAACTCTTCATGCTAAGATTATATGATTATTTTGTTTTGTTTTGTTTTGCTTTTGAGGCAATTGGGGTTAAGTGACTTGCCCAGGGTCACACAGCTAGTAAGTGTCAAGTGTTTCCTCTGAGGTCAGATTTGAACTCAGGTCCTCCTGACTTCAGGGCCAGTGCTCTACCCACTGTGACACCTAGCTGCCATCATATGATTATTTATAGGTATACTGCAGGGATGATTCATTTTCACATGTTTTGAACTAGATGGCTTATGAGTTCCCAGCCACTCTAAAATTTTGTGATTTTGTGATTTTTGTTCTCTAATAAAGAATATTGTTCATTTTAAGATTATCTGTGGGTACAAATATTTTCAAAAAGGATTTCTAAACTTTCAGATTAATCAGATGTTTTATATATCTTACTCTGATAAGATCTCTTGCTTCCTCAGATTTAGATGAGTAAGAGTGGCATTTCAGAAAAGTATAAATTTGGGAAGGAATAAAAAGAAAAACTGGCCAAGAGGTAATCCTAATCCTAAATCATAGATCCATTGGTAGCTTAACTAATGCACACACCACGTTTAGGTCCAGTTGACTAATTTGAAACATCCGCACTTCCTCCCGAATCTTACATTTTAAGTCAAATATTCTAAAGTTATCTTTTCACCTCTCCACATCTGCTCATCCTCTTCTCAGTAAATACAACAAGAAATAAATAAATATGACACATCAGAATGAATAAAGTTCTTAGAAAATAAATCAAAGAAGGATGACAAGTAGTGAAGCATAAGCACTATGTAAATGTGAATTATTGATATTATTTTTCTGACGTATTTTTCATGGCTTATACATATCTCATATTAGAAATATTAGTAGATCATCATAACAAAAGAAATACGCACATAAAATATTCTGCATACAAAATGAAAACAAATGAAGGGAAATTGGCTGAAATTAGCACCTATGATAATAGCAATAATAAACTATTTCTACTATGATTGCTTAATATGTAGAATTGGTATTATTGTTCTTTGACAGATCAGATACTTGGATAAATATGTTTTAAAAGTTGTCTGCAAAGGAAAATTTGCTATAATGGATCTTGTTTCCTTGATTTGCATTATATATTTGAAGATTCATTCTTATGAGGAGGGGGAACAACATGGCAATTAGAGGAACAAAGGCAAGAGATTGAAACAGAAGGAATATTTTTACACATTATACATAATACATACATACACATATATACATTTGTATACATGTATAATACCTACTGTAGACATAAAAGAGCAAAGACATATTTACTTTCAATGTTTATGGCCTGTAGTAAAGACATTAATACAACTTTACATGAGATGATCATAATCAACAACAGATACAAAAGTTACTTACCATGGCTTTAAAATTAGTGACTTCAGCCTTAAGAGCAAAAGTCATTGTAATACCTCTCCTGCCACTCTTAGTTTTAGAAATTAACATCAGTATAGCTTCAGCAGAATGTAGAAAGCGACTAGTAAATGCCACATTAATATAAACTTGATCTCTAGTTCACAAGATTAAAAAAAAGTAAAATTTAGGATAAAATATCAATCAATATTTACTAGAAACTTATTATATTTTAGCATTGAACTATACTTACTACACTATGCTAAGTGCTAGAGATATAGACACTAAATGATACAAAAGTTTTTAGTTTAGTAGGAAACAAGAGATAAATAAATGTGATACAAGTCAGAATGAAATAAGTTCATATAAAATAAGTCAAAGAAGGATGATAAGCAGTAAAACATAAGCAGTATGTAAATATGAATTATTATTGGTATTATTTTTCTAACATCTTTTTCATGTGTTATACATATAGAGAAAAATATGTGAATCTTGGCTCATCCTTGTTGCCTGCACAATTTTGGCCTCCTAAAAATTAATAACAAAAAACAAAATTCTTTTTATTCCTAATCAAGACTTGATTGAGTTATCATTAGACTTGTAAAATCAAGCCTGATTTTTTGCATGTTTAATGTTTTATAAGGTAGTTTACCTGATTGTATGGAAACTAGAATTGTACTTTTAGAGAAAATAGAAGTAACATTTAATATTTTTCTTCTTCCTAAGAAAGCATGTTTCAAATGTTTTCAAATTATATATGTTCCATATTAAATGTTTCATATTAACATATTTCATAAACATAAGCAAAATTCATGAACATATTAAATATGTTTCAAATGACTGAGAATTATCTTGGTCCTTGTAAATAATATCCAACTCCCCATTTTCTATATGAGGGATCTCAAGCCCAGAGAATTGAACTGACTCATCTAAGGTTACACAGGTTAAAAAAAATAGGTAAACTAAAATAAATAGGTAAACAGGAAAAAATCACAGGCATTTTTAAGTGCCTTGATACATGCCTGGTTCAGCTTTGCTAAAGTTGTTCATTGTTTAAACTAGTTTTTTGTTTTTAGTTGATTTTCTAGGATTCTCTAAGCATACCATCATATCATCTGAGAAGTGATATTTTTGTTTCCTCATTAACTATTCTGATTACTTTAACTTCTTTTTCTTGTCTTATTAATATACTATACTATATTCTAGCATTTCTAACATGATATTGAATAATAGTGGTGAAAATGGACTTGCTTCACCCATGATCTTACTAGAAAGGTTTCTAGTTAATTTCCATTACAGGTAATGCTTGCTCTTTGTTTTAGATAAATAATACTTATAATTTTAAGAAAGACTCCATTTATTACTATGCTTTTTAGTTGTTTTATATCAAAAAAATGAAGATGAGGAAGGGTAGTGTGTGAAAAATGCCAAAATGGCTAAATCAAAACCTAACTGCCGATAAAATTGGAAACTGAGTCTTATGTAGAGTTACAAGAATATTTCTATAATTTTTTTCTTTGTTTGTTTGTTTTTACATGCTTATAGATTCCTTTAGTTATAGAGCTGTCTTTTTGGGGTGGTAAATGCATAATGGTCAAAGATGGCTCTTTATAGGGAAGAAAACTAGCACACCATCTTCTTCCAATAGATGATTGCTAAAGCATAATGATTGATGATAATGGTTTTTTTCCCTAAAGAAGTTTAAAAACATAAAGAATGTATTTTTAAAAACTAAAGTCATTGGAATCAAACATCCTGGAAAAACCAAGGATAAGGAGCATTTTAATAGTTTAGTTTTTGGTTTTGGGAAGTTTTTTGCTTTTGGGAAGTTTTTTGCTTTATTTTATTTTTAATATTGAAAAGATAATTATATCAAATAGTGCTCTCCCTTCACTTAGAATAAAAAAACTAGAAAATGGTATAAAACGTAATACAAAGTTAGTTTATTGTTTTGGAAAAAACTGATACTGAAAACTTTTTTTAAAAAAACAGGAATACATTGCAAAGGTCATGGAATTTCTTTTGGTAGTATTTTAAGAGAAAATGAATTCTCATCAAGATGTGATACATGGTACATTCTTGTTTGAAAGTAAAGACAAAATTATTTTTTCCCCTACTCTAGCGGTTCATTGGTAATTTCTCATTACCCTCATGCTAACTTGTGTGCATTTTACAAAGAATTGTCCTCAAAACCTTTAAAGGCCAATAGTATGTTATCCCCATTTTACATATCATGAAACTAGTCATCAGAGAAGTTAAATAATGTCCCCAGGTAACATAGCTGCCAAGCGTTGATGCTGGAATTCAAAACCACATCAGCTAACTTCAAGTTTAAGCTTTTTTTCACTGCTTTTACGCTGTTGCACCTTATAACATTCACATTTAAATGTATTTTCACCAACCAAAAAAAAAATACATTGTTTTCTACCATCTTCATTTGACATTTTGTTTTCTGATATAACACTATCTGAAGATAACTTAGTTTGTCAAATTCACTAACTTTACTATAACAGAGCAAAATTCATCAGAAACAAGATCCTCCTTGGAATCCATTCAAGAAGATTTAGTCACTGAAGTTTCAAGATGAGCTACATCAAAAATTGCTCAAAAGGGGAATCAAGGGTCATTGTTACCATAAGGTTCTAAAGTAGCATCACTATGCAAGAGTAGGGAGAGATTGTTCCTCCAGCCTTGGTGAGTGAGTTTCCCTGGCTCTGTGTATTTCCTATATTTATGTCCATTTTCACATGTTCTCTCTCCCTTTGGTGATATGGGGATTTATTGGTAAGATGAGGAAGAGTGAACCCCTGTATATATGGAAAGAATTTAATTGCTATTTATATTGGATGTCATCGATTTGAACTGAAGGATTCTCTGATTGCTCTGGTAAAAAGGAAACATGGGTGGGAGGGTTAGTTCATAAGCTGTGATTTTGAATAAATGTTGACCTAAAGCATGCCTTGAAACTAGAATAGTTGTAAGAGTTCACATTTGAAGGGTAGCCCATGCTACATTTTTAAAAATATTATTTATAAAATGAATTGATTCCAAATGCTAGAGAATGTACTCTAGGTTAATAGAATGATATAACCTAATCCAATTTTAGATGCCTTACAGTGTCAAACTTGAAAATTCATCATTATAATGTTTTCTTGGGGCCTCTAGGTGGTTCAGTGGATACAGTGCAAGACCTGAAGTCAGGACGACTCAACTTCCTAATTTCAAAGCTGGCCTCAGACACTTACTATCTGTGTTACTGGGGGCAAATCATTTAACCCTGTTTGCCTCAGTTTCCTCATCTGTAAAATGAGCTGGAAAAGGAAATAGCACACCACTCCAGTACTTCTGCCAAGAAAACTCCAAATAGCGTCACAGTCAGAAATGACTGAAAACAAATGAACATTTTCTCACTGTAAAGAAACTATGACTGAGTGAATTTTTTATTGGCTAAATATTAATTCATATTAGCAAACTGTCAAATTATGCTTGTCTTCATACTACTGTTCCCAAATTTCTATTAAATGAGAATTTTTACCCTCAGTGAAGTCACACCAAAATAGCATTTAAGATTCTCATAGTTTTAAAAATGTCTTTCTAAACCCTTGAGACAGTATACTTCTTGGTGTCTTTACCACATACTCCAGATAAGGCTATAATCAAAGGTATGAAATACAAAAAATCTGACAAAAATTAAATAAATCTAATAAAGTCAATTGGTGGTATAATATATAGATTGGTAGGCCTTCCCTCAGTAAGACCTAAGTTCAAATCCAGCCTCATATAATTACTAGTTGTGTGACCTTAGAAAATTCATATAATCTCTGTTGGCCTCAATTTCCTCAATTGTAAATTGGGGATAATAAAAGCACCAGCTTCCCATGGTTATTGTGAGGATAAAAAGAGATAATATTTATAAAGGGCTTAGCACTATGCCTGGAACATGACAGGTGTTTAGTAAATTCGTGTTTCCTTCATAACATCAATGATTATTACACATAAGTAAAATTAAAGTTAAATGCTTATATAAAAGGAAGATATATTTCTTTTGGCAAACTAATCTTTAAAAAAAAGAAAAAATATTGCATATTTGTATTCTGAAAAATACATTAATATTTAAATGAAAGCCTGTTATTATGTATCTCCAAAAAAATCAGATTATAAACACATGCATGTGTCCCATATTAAAACACTAGTGTTGATTTTATCAAAGTAAAAGAGAAATTTCCTTACCTTGAAGTAATAGTTATAACATTCTTATATTCTTTAGGCAATGAAAAATCCACTGCATCCCAGCCTATAATTCTAGCATTATATACTAAATTTTTAGAGCTTGTATTTTTCAGAAGAATCTACAAAAGAACATAGGTTGCAATTGTTAGACTATATTAAATTATGCAGGCAAGTCATAATCATAAGATAAAAAATCATGGGAAATGGATTTGAAAAGAACTTTAGAGAAAATCTAATCTCATTCCTTCATTTAACAGATGAAAAAACTGAAATCCAGACAGATTGAATAGTAAATAACAGAGCTGGATTTCAAACCCATGTCTTTGAACTCCAAAACAAGTATTCCTGACATGACCTCCAAAATAAAAATGAAAGAATTGGATCTGAATCTAACCTCCTCATTTTACAATGGAAAAAAACTGAACAATAAAAGCAAAATGACTTATCCAAAGCAATGAGATAATGACAAAACTGAATTAGAATCCAGGTTTCCTGACTCCTGGTCTACATTTTTCCTCAAGCTAAAAGTTTTAAAGAAATTAAGCACAAGTAGTTGTCAACTTAGAAATGATTTCTCTCCCATAGAGATCTCATCAGTTCAAAACAGCTGCCCAAATAATTTTACTAAAGTACAAATGTGGCCACATCACTCCCTTTCTTAAGAACCTTCAAATATCTGCTATTTCTTCTAATATATGCAGCTAGGCTGTACAAGGAATAAGAGTTCTGGGCTTAGTGTTGGTGGTATCTGAGTTCAAATCTCATCTCAGATGCTTATTGGCTGTGTGATCCCAGGCAAGTCACTTAACTTCTGTATGCCTTCGTTTCCTCATTTCTAAAATGAGGATCATAGTAGCATCTATCTCCCAGAGTTATTGTAAGGATCAAATGAAATAATATTTACACACAAAAAGCTCTTAGCACAACACTAGATACAGAGTAGGTACTTATTAGATGCTCATTCCCTTCCTTCCTAATGTAAAATGAAAATTCCTCAGCCTGATATTTAATCCCCTCTATGGTCTGGCTCCTGCCTAACTTTCTAGGATTATTAGCGTTATTCCTCTTTATACCTTTTTTTTATTACAGTCAAACTGAGCTACTTCTTATTCTCTATACACACAGCATTCCCTCTCTTTGCCCTCGCCCAGCCTATCTCCCCTGCCTGGAATGCACTTCTTCCTCACTTCCATCTCTTACAATCCGAAATTTCCTTCAAGTCTTTGCTATATATATATATATACATACATACATACATATACACACACATACACACACACACATATATACATATATATACACATATATAACATGAAGCCTTTCCTTCCTCATTGTCAGAGCTCTCTCCCTCTTTAAATTATCATATACCTATTATCTACTAATTAGAACATAAGCTCCATAAAGTCAGGGTCTCTATCTTTCACAGAGTAGATACTTAATAAACATTTGTTGGATCAGATTCAATTGGATAAACATTAATTGTGCAAAGCAGTACCAACTATTACTCCAATGCTGATCTCAGTTCACTAATTTGGTTAATAACTACACTTTTGTGGCAACTTTCAGTATAGCTGCATATCAATCATTTAATGGTAGAAGTGTGATGGCATCAAAAATCTTAGCCAAAGGAAAAATAAAAGCTTATACCTATGATTTAACTGTTAAATATATTTAACTAAATATATTTTCCACATATTTAAAATAAACATAACCTCTCAAGATAAATGAAAAAGGAAAGAAAAATTTGGATGTCTTATTTTATCTAACATCAATAACACATGTATAAGCAATGGTCTTGATTAAGCTAGATTTAAAACATCAAATTTATTTTTACTTACGAACAATAAATTAGGCAATTTTCTCAGATATAACTATTATTTTGAATCAGCTGCTACTTTGAATCACCCTAATAAGAATATACTTTTATATACTTTGTCCCTAGAGATAAACTCTAATCAGGTCTTTTATTATAAAAGATAAGCACATAGTTCAAGAAATTTGAAATTTGTATTATGTGTTGTGAAATTAATATGCAAATGTTTTAATATAGTGACCAGAATCTGTTTTGTTACATTAAAATCCAATTTTTTTCTTGCAATATAGAGAAAAGAACATATTACAAATATATAAAAGCTTTCAAAATAAATTGATAGTGGACATTTTCAATAGTATCACAAACAGTGGAAAGAAGTGCAGCAAATGTAAATAGGCTCCAACATATTATCCCTATTGATTTGCATGTGAGAACTGGCACAAAAAATATCATCAAGGATATGAATGGCCAATCAATCTATGTGTAATCAATCAATCAACATTTACTAAGTGCCTACTATATGCCAAGCACTGTACTAATTGCTGGGGATACAAAAAGAGGCAAAAGATAGTTCCTGTCCGCAAAGAAGTTACAGTCTAATGGAAACATATGAAGCAAGCTTCATACAGGAAAAATGGGAAATAATTAAAGAGGGAGGTCACTGGAATTAAGAGGAGTTGGGGAAAGCTTTCTACAGAAAGTGAGATTTTAGTTGGGACTTAAAGGAAGCCAGGGAGGTTAGCAGTTGGAGCACAGAAGGGATAGCATTCCAGGGATGTTGGACAGCCAGAGAAAATGCCCAGAACCAAGAAATGATGTTTGTGGAACAGGCAGTACGCCAGTGTCACCTGATAAAGGAAACAAGGCAGTGGAGAGTAAGCAGGAGGGGACTAAGTTATAAATGGCTTTCAATGCCAAGAAAAGCATTGTGGGCAATATGAAGCCATTGCAGTTTATTGAAAAAAAGATAGTCTGGTCACTCAATTAAAGAATTCAACCAGCATTCAAGAACTTCTTATATACAAGGCAAAAAGCAGCATGTCATAGTAAGGAGAGCTGATCTCAAACTTGAGAAGAACTGGGTTCATATCCTGTTTCTAATGCATCTTGATGGTATGACCTTTAACGAATCATGTAATATCTCAGTGCCCCCAAGCAACTCTCTAAGATTCTAAGCTGCAGAATTGGGGCCAACTTTAGTCTACTTAAGCCTTCTATGAGAGAAGACAAAGGAGAAGAAAAAAAATTGACCTCAATAAGGAGAAGGAAATCTTGTACGTGATTTGGTAAAGTTTGGACAAATAATGTAGATCAGGTTGACTTCAGGGAGGAGAAATTTGGCAAAATTTGGGATTTATTGAGGAAAATTTGAGAGATATTGAAGAATATTTAAAGATAAATAATCTCTAGACCTAGATAACCAGCCTGTTCCTACTTCTCGGTTGAGAAAGAAGCATGAAAAGGACAATTAAGAAGAACATAAAAAGATTAAAGAAGATTAAGGAGAATTAGGGAGTAGACCTAAAATAGGAAGCATTTGGCAGAATAAGGCAAGGTAAATAAGACAAAGTAAATGGAAGGATTAAAGGGATAGCTAATTGATAAAGCTGACTGAAGGTGGGTGGAATAGCCATGGAGTTGTTGAAATAAAGAAAAATAATTTGAATGGGTTGTCAAATTATTAAGAGGTGATAATTGGCGGTAAATTTTTTAACCTGTAGTTTAGGATTGAGGTATAATCCACAAGCAGTTAAAGGCAATAAGAATGAAAACTTCAACAATAATGGAGAGCAGGGAAAGTTATTGATCTAGTCTATAATGTTTAATGGGAAGAAAAATTACATCTGAGATAGAGAAAGGGAGACTTGACCCTTGTCAGAATGATGGAGAATAAAAAGTTAAACCCAGAGGAGAAAGAGAAAGGAAAGGACAGCTGTATAATTAGTTTTTAAATGGTTCAGAGGCCGTTTCTGAAGAAAAGAGAGGGATGCTTTGAAGAGGAGGAAACTTCTCATCCTCCAAAGAATGGTATAAAAATGCATAGAAAGTGAGAGGTCATCCAGTAAGGATTCAAAGAAGAGAAGAAAAATAAAAGTAGTTGGTGGTTCCTTGTTCAAGGATACTGAGGCAGCTATTTGTCAACCTGATAGCAATAACAGAGGTATGTTATCTTCTCAGAGCATTAGTCAAGACATCAACTAGTAAGTCAATAAATAACTACTTATTAAGTACCTACTATGTTTCAGGCAGCTAGGTGGTGAAGTGGATAGAACATTGGGGTTGGAGTAAGAAAGATCTAGGGGCAGCTAGGTGGTGCAGTGGATAGAGTACCAGCCCTGAAGTCAGGATGACCTGAGTTCAAATCCGGCCTCAGACTAAACACTTAACACTTACTAGCTGTGTGACCCTGGGCAAGTCATTTAACCCCATATTTGCCTCAGTTCCTCATTTGTGAAACATGTAATACATGCTGTAGAACGAAATGGCAAACCACTCCAATGTCTTTGCCAAGAAAACCTCATGGACAAAAGACCATGGGGTCAGGCAGAGTTGGATACAACTGAGCGACTGAGTAACAAAAAAATGCCAGGCACTGTTCTAAGCAGAAACAAAAAGAAACCAAAAAAATTCCCCGCCCTCAAGGAGCTTACAATCTCTTGGAGGTGGGGAGAGTACAACATGCAAACAAATAAGTACAAACAGGCTATACATTGGATAAATACAATTAAGAGGGGTTGAGAAAGACTTCCTTTAGAAGATGGAAAATTAAGGATAATAAACATACTGTGAGAAAAAAAGATCAAAGAAGGGACAGGATATTGGCTTGAGGTGTATGAGGTAATAACAGAAAGGAGAAAGAGCTCTTCAATTTATATTGAGATGTTTTCTCTGCAAGGGAGATTGTTCTTTACACTACACATAACAAAGCAAAAATTATTAGCATAGAGTTAATACCCAAGATAAGTAGGGGGATACCTATTTGTTCTTAATTTCATCAACTGTCCCTAATGAGTTAAAAGATGAGGTCCTGAAAGAACTGACAGAAATGATTATGTAACTGTTGTCAATGATATTTAAAAGATCCTAAAAAAGAGGAGACAAACCAGAAGATAGGATAAGAGTCAATGCTGTCCTGGTTTTCAAAAAAGGGGAAGAGAACAGAGTCAGCAAACAACAGGCTACTGAAATTGATTTTGATTCCTGAGAAAATTCTAGCCTGGATAAACCAAGAGAAGATTAGTGAACAAAACCTGTATGTAACCAAACTGGGATGTAATCCCGGAGAAATTTCTGTGCTAGTTAACC